TCACCAGCAAGTCAATGATTGCTCCCTAGATATTCGATTACATTTCAACACAATAAACTCTCGATATATTTCGAAAACGGATGCAGAATTTTATACCGTAATTGCAAGTAGAGTTATTCAACGGTTTTTTTTTATTGAAACTGAAAATGTCTCGATTATTATTATTATGATTATCAGGTTCACGGTTCACCATTTCTAGGTAAATAATATGTATATAAATACTTCATTATTTTAATAATTAGTGCAAATTAAAAGCTGCATTCATCAGCCTGTTTATATGCAGGGTTTATGCTCACACCACATTTTTGGATATATTAAGTCTATTCCAGGTCCCACGTTTTACTATGTTCAAATTCAGAATCATTTTCCGAATCGATTAAAGCGTGTCTGTCCATATGTCTGTCTGCCTGATGTCTGATGTCTGATGTCACATATTTTTATGTTCAATGTACGCTTTGCTTTGTAAGCATTGCTGTACCGACATGAATTCCGTTGAAAACAAATAAACTCTTTGCAGTCAGGCCAGGCCGTAATTCAAAATACTGTACACCACTCCGTCTAATATTCATTCAATAAAAATAATTCATTCATTTCTCTAAAGACGTGTCTTTCAGCAAAACCTTTGTAAAGGAATTCTTTTCATGGAAATCCTTGAAGGCTTCGCAAAAACGCCAAGTCACTTGACCTAAACTTAGGAAACTTAATTGACTTGTTAAACATTTTATCGTATTTTCGTCATGAAAAACTACAAGGTAGACTTTGTCTCCACGTAAAAGCTTACTTTTCATGAAAACTCTTATAAACTATACGATGGCGTCTAGAACTTATGTGATAATCTTTATGCCATTTTTGCTATTATATGAAAAGGGATCCAAAGAGTAGATCTACCTGACCCAATTTTGTTAAGATTAATTTCTATGTCAAGTTACTATTAAGGACAAACTTCGGATGGAAAGTGGAATTTTCGAAATTTTGACTTTATAAAAGTTCAATAATAACGTTTACCCTATACGATTAAAATTTTTCACATACACTAAGGAGGTCAAAATACAGTTATTAAGCGATCTGTGTTCCAGTTTTTTTGCCATCTAAAAATCTTTAAAAGTAACTTGTTCAAGGAGAAGCGGGTCGGAAAAGTGATTCGATTGAAGCGAGCTTTCAATAGACAGACTGACAGACGGCCAAGCTCAGAATAAAAGATGCGTCTATCTGAAGACTTTTAGGTATCAAAAATATAACTATGTGATCCAAATTCCCTATTGTTAATTTATTTGGATATTTTGCTATTATAGATCAGTTTTTATCAGAAAATTTTAAAAATTAAATCTCTTTCTGAAGGACTTACTATTCTCTAGAAATCTAAGTGGAGTCCAAGAAATAGATTCACCCAATTCAAATTTGGTCCATTTATTATGTATGTACCATGAACACTTTTTTATCATAAAAGTTTTACAATTAGTCCTTTTTGGCATATTCAAAACACCATTTTATGCTATCCAAGAAATAGGCCCAGATTCCCCAAATACCTATTTAGGTTTTATTTACTATTTTTACTATTTTTACTGTTTTTACTATTATATTAGGAACTAATTTTCACCATGAAATATTCACTTCAGTTTTCGTGTCGAGAGACTATTACTCAGTGACTTTTGACAAAAAATTTTAAAACTTGCAATTTTTTTCCATATAACAACTTTTCAAAATAAGGCGTTAAAAGGAGAGGTGAACTTCAAAGTGATCTAATCTGAGTCATCTTCAATAGCATTCTTCCTCGGGCCGATCCATGCCATTATACCAAACATCATCAAAATGTCTCAAAATCTGCAATCGGTACACGGGTTGAACGGAAAAAAAACAAGATCGAGAGACTGGCAGGGAAGCTTAAATCCCAAAACCATTTTCTGAATCGATTGACATACAACCCAATTACATAAATTTAATATATCCTTGCGCTACAAGTGGTGTTTAAGAAAAGCTCTATAAGCCTTGTGTGTATATTTAAAAGTTTCTCATTTTTTCTCCCCTTCATTTGGATGCAAATTCTGGTAATGAGTAATTGGCGAACTCTTGGACAAATTTAGACGATTTTCGATTTTAATATGTAGTTAGCATTAGTTAGCTTCTTTTCCCTAATAGCAGGACGAGTGTTGTATAAACAAAAGGTTTTAGATAAACTTTTTTTTTTACGAAAAAACGAAAAAGAAGAAGAAGATTTAATCGAAATTTTATAAAATTTACTCACTATACTTTGTGGGCAGATTGTAAATAAAATAAATTATAAAAAAAAAAAAAAGATTCTATTAACAATGACTCGTGATAGAACGGCTGAATGAAAAACAAAAAAAAAAATTCAATAAACAGACATGAGCACGAACATAACTAAATCGATTTCGCTGTTCACGCTAGTTTAGAATAACAATAGGTCATATTAAAAATTCTCCGCGGGATGAGGCGTTGATGCGTATATACCGGCATCACTCACTTGATTGTCTCAAACAAACATGTGCTTAAAAGGTGACATTTACCATTTACCTTAACATTTTTTTGTGAAGACCGTTTTCCAATTCTTTGCTCGTGTAAAAAATTATATTGATTTGAAAATGTGTGGAATATCTCAAGAAATACCCCATGTGATGTTTTTTTACTATAAGAAAGGTAAAAAAGCTTTGCGAAGTGTACAGTGAGAATGCTGTGGAAAGAGCCAAGAGTGGTTTGCTCGATTCAGTTCCGAAAATTTCGATGTCAAAGATGCAGCTCGCACTCACCGAAAAAGTCGATGAAACTTTATGACTGGCTTAGCAAGACCGGCTCGCAAGCTCTTAGGAAATAGCAGAGGCACTAAACATCAACCACACGACAGTTTGGAATCCTTTGAAAAGAGCAGCCTGAGAAATGCAGCTCGAAATCGCGAAGACTTTTCAACATGACCTAACGCATTGATTCGATCTTTAACAAGCACGTTCCTAAGCAGTAAAAACATTTCACATTTCTCAATTGATTGCCTTTAGTTTCTATAAAAATAATGAAAATTTTAACACATTTGAATATTTTAACACATTTTCATTATTGCTTTGCGCGCGGGATGAAAGTTGTGTTTACTAATTATTAGCGCCTTCGTTGCTCTTTATTATAGCATTCATTATACCCTACATCACTTGTGGCACAGGGTACATTAGTGCGGTCGTATGTGACAAGTAGAAGAGACCTACCTTTCATTATACCGATCGATACAGAATCATAATCTGAATTGATCCAAGCCTGTCTGTCCGTCTGATGCCTGTCCATGTAAAATTATGTTCACGGTACAGCTTGTAATTCAGATCGATTCACTTTTTCGGCCACTCCCCATATAACGTCCAATTCTGAAAATTCGTTATCAAAAAAAAATTCTAATTTTTAAAATTTCTCGAGAAAAGTAGCTTAGTAGTAGTATTTCGGCATTGTGAAAACTTTGGAACGGCTGTGCTAATTTTTCGACAGAAAGGGATAATTTTCAATTTTTCGCGACGAAAATTCTATCATAATAGCAATTTAACATAAAAAAATTAACTGTGTCGAATTTGGACTATCTCGACCTATTTTTTGGATCCTACCCTAATAACGATTATCACAAAGAGACTGCAAGGAATTTCTTCGCAAGGTGTTTCGTTCTTTCACTTGCTGATTCAAAAGCAACACTGGTGCACTGTTGCCAAGGACGACGATTTCTAACATTTGCATGATCTGAGAAAATTGTTGAAGGTACCAAGCGAGCATTCAATTTTCAAATAGACTTAATTCATTGTTGATATAAAGGGCGGTGACTTTACGAATAGCGCATATGTGCAAGCGTCCCTTGCCTAACACATTTATTTCGTATCGTGCTGTGTTATGAGAAATTTTTTTATTTCAACTAAAATATCATGTAGAACGATATAATTTATCAAAGTCCGTCTAATGTCTGTCCATGTATTTTTGTGTTCAATCTACATCAATTCTACTATCAATTTTTGAGATATTCGGATGAAATTTGCTTCAGTGTAAAGTGGTTTCACTCCTTGGACAAACGCTATCGAAAAGGCTAAAAAAAATTGCAATTTTCAAAATTTTTGTCAAAATTGATGTTCAACATGTGCTTTGGCTGTGAAAATTTTATGAACCCCTTCTAGTAAAACCGCTCCTACGAAAATTGAATCTTATTTTGTTGTACTATTAGCAAAACAAGTGCATAACTGTACTAAGCGAAGTGGTGAAGGAAGGTCGACCTGACCGATTATAATGTTGTTACTTGTTTACCATGTTGTTGTGCAGACATCGTGTTACAATTGTGGCAAATTTCGTGCCATGTTGTAGCGAAAGTGTGCTTTGCAAGCAGCGTTTTAAAGAAGGAACGCTTGTATATAGAGAGGCAGTCTAAACCAACTACAATGACTTCCTCTTTACGCTTCGCTTGTATTTGTAAAATATTACAGAAATTTGTGTAGCTGTGCTTTTGAATAACTAAAAATTGTTGTTCTAATATTTGAAATATCAAATGTGAAATAATGAGAAATGACCTTTGCCGCATGAACTCTACGTAATACCCTAACCCTAACCGTATATTAACAAACGCGTGTTTACAAAGGTGTTTTTGTATGTCATTTTCTTTTCTTTTATTTCTTGCACTTTTCAACATTAAAATCTTCTATAATATGTAAATATATAAAAGAATATGTATGTATGTGTATTTGCACTTTAAAATAAATTTTTACATAAATATTTATAAGCGAAACTATGTTTCATATATATGTTTAGCATTTTCTATATTCTTTACAAGGCTTTTTCTGGACGGATTATAATATATATATATTATTAGATATATAGATGCAGAAACTGCAGAAATTATACGCAATTTAAAGACCATCACTCCAAGAATTCAAAAAAGATTTTTTTTTTTTTTATGTAAGACCAATTAATGTAATAAGGCGAAAGGAAAATTTTGAAAATTTTATACAATTAAAATTTTTCAAAAAGAAAAAAAAAATTCAAAACTTAAGCCAAGATTTGAATTAAATAAATAAATAAAACCAGGAGAGGAGCAACTACTATGCTCACGCCAGAGCTATTCGCTTCACAAACTTTTGGCTGAGGTTGAGGCACGTATTTACACAAAGCACCGAGAAAATCAGTTTGAGCACGCATACTCACTTTAGGATCATATTGCTGCAAGTTAATAAAAAAACAATCACAATTTTGTTACCGAGAGACCACAATGTTGATAATGTTCTTACTTCTTTAAAGACGACAGTTGGTACACTGATTAAGGGATTTTGAAAGGCGTTCGTAGTTTGGCCATGTGCCATTAGTAATCGTTCACCGTCAGTGCTATTAGCGCACTGTTGTATATTCTCCCAAGTGCTGACATGACTTTCTCGAGCACATTTTGCACCAGGATAAACATTATCTGGGAAATTTTTGCCAGCTTTCATCATGCAATGAATAAAATTCAAAATGAGAGATTCACGAGTATACTCTGTTTGATAAGAACTGGCCTGGATGTGTTCTATAGCGCAGGCGTGCACTTTATTTCCATAACATTCATTAGGGCCGTGATGGCAAGTGAATAATATCTCCGATCCTTGAGTTGTATACTAAAATTGTAAAATTACATTTTTATATAAGATACATAAGACATTATATATATATATATATATATATATATACAAGTATCCTTCCCTTACCGTAGATTTGCCAAATGGTACCCATTTAATGTCAACATGATCTCTTAGTTCATTTTTCACTGCCGGGAAAAGTTGTTCGCTTATAAACTTAGCACTATCTGGACACAACGACTCGTAGTAAATGGTTACAGGTACCTTAAGAACAATTAAAATTTATGAAGTATACACGGTAATTGCCAATAGGTATTGATTAATAATCTATATTTTAAAATTGAATAAAATTAAGTAAGAAAATTTGATTCGGTCCTGAAAGAAATCTTTCTAACCATCACCGTTGTCCAAAAAAAGACTCTTCTATACTCTATAATATTGGATTGGCGGGCCTGATTGTTTCTACTTTCGTGTCTTTGTTATACTGTACAAGTAACAAACGACAATGGCCAAAGCGAAGGTGTTCACAGTTTTTGTTGCATTGGCAGGTAAGCTTTGTGGGCGTACCCTGTGACCGCCTTAGGTCATTTTCACAGTGCTTTGCAAATTTACCAGGATAATGTTTATAATAGACATTACGCAAACGGACGGACGAACGTGCTTAAATCGATTCAGAATCTGACGCTGATCACTCCCTTATTCTTGGGTGTTGTGCATAAAAATCTAGTAAATGTAAAAAGGATTCGCTTCAGCTTAGTTGGAGATTGCTACTTGATATATGGCTTGGAATATTTTTATTATTGTTATTGCGATTCTTATGACTAAAAGAGAAGCAATTGCGAACTAGCAACACGGGCTATCGAGTGTAGTTTAGAAAAGAAAAGTAGATCTAGGCAGTAGACATTAGACATAGATAGTACGTTCCTTTACTAATTTCAGGACGTCCTTAGGATTATTTGTACCTAATGCGATGCTTTTAATAAAGAAAAAGTTTAGGCAAATTGAGAAGAATTTTTTAGGAATTGCTGTAGATTTGCTTTCATAATACTCTCTTCAATTGTCTTGGCTTCAAGTAGTACGTACATATATATCAGAACTAGAAAATTAGGTGCGCCTTAAAACAAATTTCATTTATATAAAGAATTTATGTAAATTTCAATAAAGAGTGCTTAGCTGTAATGAGACCGGGCTACTCTAGTATATACCCTGTTGTGTTGTGTATTTGTATTATAAGCGGTTAATATCATTTGATTTTATTAACTATTCATCGTTGTCTTACTCTTCTCAGCTTTAGAGATAAAAACGTTTTATAAATAAAACGAATCTTGTATAAACGGATCAGGCAACTAAACCAGATTTCACCATTAAATGCCCTACATCACCCTACAGTTATTTATATATACTTTTTTGAAAAGGACTTTAAAAAGTGTACCGATCCAAACCATTTTCAATAGTGTTCGTCATCAACCCAAAACACGCCAGTGTACCAAATTTCATTAAAATTTCCGGATGTAGGTTAAACGTAAGCGGGCAGACTTACAGACAATCTTAGATGAAAATGGTCTAGAATCATGTTTTGAATCGATCGGTATAATAAAGGTCCTTTTAAGTTGTTGCAGATTCCCGAAAATACTTATCCTACCTTTGCACCACAAGCGGTGTAATATATAGAAAAACCTATCTTTATTATAAAATGCATTTTTAAGTACACATGATTGGGTTACACCTATTTCATTTATTAATTTTGCCAAAATTATGGATCAATACGCCCCTTTGGCAATACAGTTTTTATAATAACTTTTAGATAACTTTTTAATTTACATAACTGCTTAGTCATATTTAAACCCAGATTTTTCTTCTTTTTTTTCTGTATATATAAAGAACTCTTATGTTGAGATCTTTGGCTGAGATAGTTTTGTTTTCAAATTTTTCGAAGAAAACAAACCGTGAGTGGGCCATTGTTTTTATCTATCGAACCAGATTTTTTTTATTTTTACTTTAATCCATATTTACTTCACATACATTGCAAACATACAAGTATATACTCGCATACAAGTATATTTTCACGTGCACATAGTACATACAATACTTAATTTAAGTCACAAAATTCAAGTTTCTCTTTCAAGTTACCTTTACTGCATTAGCAAGAGCAACGAATGCCATGAAAACTCCAATCAACTTAGTCATATTATTCTTTAGAAAAATATCTATACAAATTAAATAAAATTTCTCCGCGGATTTATATTGTACGATCACAACGTATTCAATTCTAGGCTCAAACTAAATTCTAAGAGCGAGTGGTATTTTATTTAATTGCAATTACAAAACCAAAAACAAACAAACAAGAAAAAATTATCTTCAGCTTAGGCCGAATGTTTTGATGCTTACCATTATCTTATACAAATATATGTACAAGATGTATGTGTAGATATGCATAGTATCATATTTATAAAAACCAGCTTTTTTGCTTAATTTAATACTAATAACAACTATGATAAATAACAAAAGTTATTGCTTCAAAAAAATTTTATATCTTTCTATTATCACAATTGAGGTGCGTGTAACTAACTTTTCAGTTGGCACCGAGAAAAGTGATAAGAAACATGTCGAGCTCAAGATCAGTCTTTTGAAAACAGACGGATACACCGTCGTAGAAGAGTGAATCAGTTTCGCTTTTCACTTTATCTAAGCTTTACAAACATGTGGAAAATCTAATATAAGAACACGTTTGCAATCGCAACCAACGAATTTCTACGCTTTCGTTTAGTTCGTTTATTGTTTAGTTTTCTCAGACCTGTTTTGAGCGTTGCATATATGAGAGCGAACATACCTACCCAGTTTTTTTGATGCAAAATGCATTCGTCATACCTAAGCGAATAAAGCAATCGTACGTATTACATTATACTAACTCCACTTCACATATCGGATAAAAATAAAGCACATATTAAGATATTTTCTTTTACATCGCGTAATAAAAACAAATATGAATACAAAACTTGCGATTGAGTGTTAATTTTAATTGAAATCAATAGACGCAACGTTATGGAAGAGCATATTAGATTGCGTTTTATTGATAGAATCCTCATTTGTTTACTTTTTCTATTTATACAGAAAAGTAGTCATTCCTTTAATACAAATCATCAAAATTTAAAACCTTTAGCAATCAAGTCTTTGCGAGCTTCACGTATTTGTTCTTGCAATTCCTTGGCCGCTTCCGGGCAATCGTTTAAGGTAAATGTACGATAAAGAACAGTACCGGCCGCATATAACTATAATATATAAATAAAAAGTACGCTTGAATAGTTGTCCATTTATATAGTTTTTGGGCTTAACGGCTTACACCAAACATAATAATCAATATGTACGGTAAAAGTTGTAATGGTAATAACCACTTTTCTACACGTAACGTTTTAATGGCCGCAAACAACGCGCCGAAATATGGCACAATGAACAGCATTAAATAAATAAGCCACCGTTCCAAATTGGTCATATTCTTTTCAATTATTTTTCAATTTAAATGCACAAACTCTCCGGATTACACTCTTTTTGAAGTCTCGTTGAAATGTAAGCAAAACTGCTAACTAACATATGTGTGAGAAACAGCTGTTTTCTGTTTTAAAGAAAATCGCTAGAGAGAGTATAACAATATTGTCAGTGCAGAGTTGAAATGTGCTAGAAAAGCAAAAATAATTTTTATTTTTCTTTTATTTTAACTATCGATTCGTTCACACTACTACTACTTGGTGAGATAAGCTTTTTTTCCCCAACCGCTTCTCTACGCACTTTATGTTCATTAAGCTGGGTCAATGTAAATATAATTATGAGCTGTTTAACCCCTTTAGAGTTGTTTGCAGAAATCTAAATAATGTCTGTCACTTAATCTCAATAACGGATTCTTTAAAGTCTATCAAAACAACTTTGCTTAATACGCGCGATTTGTCTATGTCGTATTTAAACCAACTTTTACTCTTAACATCTCATTATGATTTGAAAATGAATCGTTGTTTACTGTATCGGTTGCCAAGCTTTTGCATGTATGCGCTCGCTTAGGGGTTCATTTGCAACTTAGTTCTGTAGTGGCTGTGGGTGTGCGTCTTTGCTAGTTGTGTACATGCTATTTCCCCTTTTTACTTATTTATCCATGACTCATTGTTTAATAATTATTATATATATTTTCTTCTTCTTATATACTTTACACTACTTTTTAATATTAATTAGCATAAGGTTTACTTCTAAGAGTGAATTGAATTCGACTGTTAAACTGTTCTAGTTGCGTTTCATGGGTAAGTAAATAAAATAAATGCAAATAATACCTCCGTTCAACTAGTTTTTTCCATTGACATCATGTTAAAAAAAAAAAATCCGATCCCTTATTTTATGTGATATGAAAAAACAAAGACTGCGATCTTACGCATCCGCTTTACCTAAAATCATTTGTGCGAGAGATAATAAAGCCATGATTGCTTTTAATTTTTCTGTTGTAATAACGTAGAATTAAATATATTTTTCGAAACTTGCAAAATAATGTTAGCTATGTGTGTGTAGGTCTAATCAAGGTGTCATATCTTCACATCTGCAACAGATCGATTGTACATATGCGCAGCATTAAAATTTGTAGGCAAAAAAGTTAAGCAAAGTTAATTTCTAACGTCCTTTCGCAGTCACTGTCACCATTCTTTGTGTAGATATTTTAACTTCTTGCCTTCATATCTATATTAATTCTCATACGCAACTGCAGTTTTTGTTAACATAACTCTTTAGAAAATATGTCCGCGAAATGTTTACTTGCTTACTTAATATTGTACAATATTAGATGGATAGTAAAATAGTTAAGCTTTCTTTCCTACAGCCTGCTACATGGCTTCCTTTTGACAATTTTTGCGTAAAAAGTAGGATAGCCGCACTTCACACGTATTAAGCTATTTAAAGCTGCCTTCCTCACGCGATACTATAAACTATACAGCGATGTGGATTTGTCAAACATCAGCTTTAACCCATCATTCATTCCTATCCAATTACTTTCGCCTATCACACATTCGTTCTCAAATGCTATCAACTGCCATTCTACCATTTCTTTCTTATCCAAGTCTTTATGTGCGCAACTCATCCGTATTAAAGTATTTATATGGACTCAGCTTTTGGTATTGCAATCAATTCAAAGTTACTTTCTACATAGCTCTATGCTTGTCCGTCCGTCTTGAGTTCTTGCATTTAACCTGCACTGATGTGTTTTGTCCCAAGGAGGTACGTTGGTTCGAATGGTATACTTTTTTGACTACTTGCTATTCAACGCCTCATTTCGGAAAGTCATATGAATAACTGTAGGAAGGTGTAGGGTATTTAATTGTGGCTCTGATTGGCAATAGTGCTTTCACAAGTGTTATCTGGAATTCTTCAGGGATGCGAGGATTGTTTTTTGTCTTTCTGTTGATTATTCGATCAACGTTTGCTTATAGAAAGGGATTTTTAATATCTATTTTATGAGATCTTTTATCTGTTCAAGTTTAGCTGCCCTATATAGCGCATTTTGCGTCCATCGCTATAATGAGATGCCAAAATTGTTTATAAAAGTTCAAATTGTCTTTTGCTAACGTTTAGTCGTTTAACGTATTTCATATAAGATAAAAGTTTCCTCACTTTAATAACTGGGTTATATTGTCTTTGTTAAAAGTTCACGCATACAATTCATTATGGATACAATTTTTTCAATGATTATGCTAATGGGTGTAGCTGTCGTAAGTGATTGAAAAAATACACAATACATAAAGAAAAAAAACAAATATTATTTTAAAATACTCAAGTTACTTACTGCATTTTAAAACAAAAATAAAAATATATATATACATGTACATATACAAGAAAGTATGTTAAGTTCAAATGTGCAAATTTTTTTTCAATACTAAAATCTTTGATTTGAAGTTTACAGTTTCGTCAAAGCCTCAAGGTTACCAATTTCTTACGTCCAATGTCAAGAGGCCTGCAAGCACTCAAACAACAAGACGAATCGATGATATTCACAATTCCCCTGTGTTTTCGACTGCATCGCATTATCTGCCCCCACCAGGCCAGATTGGAGAAAGTTTCGATACGCAAGAGCAATATCAGACGCTGGGGAATCAACCGACTATAACAAAGGATATTTATTTACATTTTGCACCAGAATATCCACATGAGCAAAAATTGCATTCAGATTCGACGGTGCCAAGAAAGCATTATCGCATTATATTTATTAAAAGTCCCGTAACCAGTTTAAGCGAAGAGGCTGCGCGCTTCAAAGATGCTGCTAAACAAGAGAAAACAATTATTTATGTGTTGAATCGAAAACATGATCCCGTCGAATTTCAGACGGCCATAGAAGAAGCCGTCAATAAGGAGTTCACTAAACCGGAGGTTTTCTTTATCAAATACAGTACTCCCGAAGAAGCTGAAAGAGCGCAGCATGCCATTCAAGGTTTGTGAGTTGTGTCATTCAAATTTACATAATAAATCTTTGCATTTATTAAAGTAATATATCAACAACAACAACTATATAAATAATATAAACTCTTAAAAATTTTTTTAAAGTCATTAATTTAAAATTATAATTTTCGTCCGTCCTTAGCTGAATACGAGAAACTTGGTGGCAGCACCCGAATTTCTGACGAAATCGTTGCACCCGTTGTTAACGTTTTGGAGGATCAGTCAGTTTCAACAATCACTTCTTCTGATAAATGTTAAGCCTGGCTTGACCAACTCAAGGATGAAGTAAGAGAGAATCATTCTAAATATCTAAAATTTGAACTCAATTTTGTAGAGCTTCATAATCTTTAAGGCTTTGTACCGCCATCTTTGAAACTAATTTTCGGATAGTTGGTCGGATAACTACCTATCTATCTATTCTATCTTTAAATATAAATGTCTTTCATATGCATGTCTTGCTATATAATATTGATGAGAATACAAAAATCGAAACATGAATCCACAACGAGCTTTACATCAACGCGTTTAATAAGGGGTGAGTAAGTGTTATTGAATGGGGAAAGTATAACCAATAAGTTCAAAATTATATTCTTGTAGAGAAATTCTACGTTCCGTGCAATTGAAGGACCAAATGATACCAATAGCTAACCTCAAGGGCAATAGAAAAAAATTATTTGGATGGTTTGTGCGCATGCAACTGTGTTATGGAGCATTCATTCAGACTAGCGAAATATGTTTCCTTTGCAGAGATTTCCTTTTTGGGCATTCAACGCAGTAAAGCACGCCTCACCAAACTAAATGTATATTTACTTTTATATGGACTACGTGCTTAGTATTTATAAAAATAAAAGAATTTTTTTTTTACGCGTGTTTCTAACGTTTAATAATCAAATCAAAATCTGTTTTTCTTTTATTAAAATGTGAACTCCTAATATACTAATAACTAATAACTATGCTATCTTGTCTGCTTACGAGAATCTGCTTGACCCTAAGTGGACGAATTTGGTATTTTGCAAGAAAGAAAGGGATTTTAATAGCCAATATTAACGTTTGTCGGGGTCAGTCTCCGTTGGAGTAGCATTCTTAACGAGAGTGGAAGAGAGGGAAAGAGAGAAAGGGAGAGACTAAGAAGCAGAGATAACTAAGTAATAAGACGCCCCAAAACTTTGTTTAAAGCAAGTAAGAACATTATAGCCAGGCAAGACGGGCCATTAGATACCCAACACCACTTTCGTTTCGCTCGTTTACAATGACAAGGAATTTTAGAAAAAGTTACTACTTAATGAGTTTTTGTGGCCAACCCAAGGAGGAAAATGTTCCTAGTTCTTGTCGCAGCAGGCGTGTGGGCATTGTAGTTGTGTTCTTCTTGAGCTGTAAGCCGTGTCCACATCACTATGTAGTCATTTACGCACAAGTAATTTGATCATCATACCGCAACGGCGTGTAGTGTGATCACATATCTTTATATGTATCCACTTTGAAGTGCGACAGAATTATGCAAATTCAGCATAATTCTAATTATCACAATAACAATAACAACAATTTTAATAGAAACAATAACAATAACAGGAATTTCAACTATCGAAATCAAAATAACAATAACAACAGAAATCAAAGGAATAACAACAAAAGAGAAAACGGCATACAAGCAATAGAAAACCACGGAAACGGATTACACCCGGATTCCTTGACGATGCCCCTGAATTCGGGACAGAACACTTAAACCAGGCATCTACTTAACACCTAAACCAAGCAAACTCCTATATCTTCTTCCTCTCAAAACTATCAAAGTATGTATTACCAGATATTAAAAATGCAACAAAAACAGAATTATTATTTCTATAAGACACTGGAGCAGCGTTTGCAAAGCACACCTTTTGGAACATTATCCAATAAACAACGCAGAATGTATTAATCTAACAGGAATAACCAACGAACGTATAGAAAAATTGGGAACCACACATTTGAATGTAAATTTAGGAAACGGAATCAGTCAACATAAAATGCACCTAGCAGACCGGAATTTCCCGATAAAAACCGAT